GAAGTAGACAAAAACACAAGGAAGAACTCTTGAGACATTGCATAAATCCTAGGGGATGCTTTGGGCTGACACATGTTGTGGGATTGTGATTTAGGCAGAGCGTAGCCAGACTACAGAGGGGCCGGTAGTCCCTACTTACATCTAAGTTACATACTTATATTTTTTATATTTGTGACTTTATTTTTTGCTGGCTCCATTATAGTAGAAAATAAGTATTTATTGAATAGATGAGTAAATGAATGAATGAATTGCTTTCAGGACAATGTCACAGAATCTTAGAGTAGGAAGGAACTGTAAGTGTCAGCTAGTTCAATCTGTTCTACAATTAGTTCCACACTGTTAGGTGCTGATCTCACTGCCAATAACAATAACGATCATTAATAGCAACAAGTTACCACAGTGAATGCCTACCATGAGTCAGACATTTTACATTCATAATGTCTATTCCTATTAAAACCTTTCAAGAAAAGTGTCATTACTGTCATTTTTCAGATATATTGTCCAAAGTTTCTAAGCTAGTAACCCAGATCTACCTGTTTCCAAGTCTGGGTGTACTCACTTCCTTGGCTATGCTTTTTCTCAGCTCATTCATTCCAAAGGCAGAACTATTAATGGTTGATTTGGGGGCTACAAAGATAAATCAGTCACGGATCCTTCACTAAAATAACTCACTTTGTAATAGATGAAACAGATTAATTTTTAAATCTAGTGTTATAAGAGCTTAAGTAGTAGCACACTCTCAAACTTGTGTCAGAATGAAAAGAACAAGAATAACAGCAAAAAACAATTCTGCTTAACCAGACTTTCTCACCCTTGATACTATTAAATTACACCAGTAGCATACCCTTCACCATTGTGACCATCAAAATGTCCCCTGCGGGGTGGAATTGGGCCCAATTGAGAGTTGTGCTCACTGGCTTAAAAGGAGAAGAAAGAGGCCATTGCATGGATGTGCAGTAACATATTTAGGTATCTCCTAATGATGGTCATTTAGTCAGGATTTTTGTTTTGCTTTGTTTTTAGTATTTTGTTGTTACAAACAAAGCTGCAATGAACATACTTTGTGTACTTGGGCATGGTAAATTTCTAAAGGTGAAAGTTGTTGTGTTATAGGATGTGCGTGTTTAGGATTGTGAGGTTGCCAAAATGACCTCTGAAGAGATTAAACAAATAGTACTACCATTAGTACTTTATTAAAAATGTTCTTTTTTGAATTGGCTCAATTTGTAAACTTAAATAAATTTTTGAAAGTATGGGTTTATATGATAATACATATTTTTTGAATACACATTAAAATAAACATTAAATTTTTAAAAAATCCTTCATGTACAACCAAAAGTTGCCTTTTATAAAATATTGGGAAACCCCTTTTACTTTAAAGATGTGATAAATGACCAGAAAAGGTTCTTTGGGGTTGACAGTGATCTATAGTCAACATTCTCTGGATTCTTATATTATTCAGCCAACTGATTTTGTTCAAGTTATACTTCTCCAGTTCATCCACATGAAGATCACGATCATGAAAGATTTGGCCGAATGCTTTGTTAGAAACAAAGCACATCATGTCTGTGATCTTGCCTTCATCTAGATGAGTCTTATAAAATATGAGAAGGGTCACATTGCTGTTGGAATTTCTTCAGTTACCCAAGTAAAAGACGTTTGTTAAAAAAAAAAAAAGACGTTTGTCTTTTCTCCCTTCGTGAGAACAGACTAAGCAGTAGGGAGGGTACTTAAGTAGGGATACTTATTTTCTAAGTATCTGGGTGGGTGTGTAAAAATAAAAAGCAATGATTATATTTTCTTTCTTTCTTTCTTGACAGCAGGAACTCAAGGAAAAAGATTGAGAGCAAACAGCGACACAGCACACTGATTTTAAACACAGCCCTCATTCAGCATTTTACTATTCATCATCTGCTACACATGTAGAGTCACAGTTGCCAACTCTTTGGCACGGTCATCTCTGAATTAAGCAGAGGTCATTCCTGGGCATCAATTGTTACATTTTGGCATTCTCAGCATCATCAGTCACTTCTGCAGGTACAGAGGGGTCAGGTCTGAGATCATGCCCACTACAACAGAATAGGAACCTGGAGGACTGAGTCAGGTATAGATAAATGAGGTTCTGATTGGCAGGCAAATTTGGCTTCTGTGCTGAGAACAGCATTAAGTGCTAGTGCCCCTGGTAGGAGTCTGGGTAGAAGGGCACAAATCTAGTGGGAAATCTCAGTGATGTGAAATATTGGGGGCAGAGGGTGCCATGGGGAGAGGCTCAGAAGTAGAGGGAGGCAAGCATTCCACATCAAGAAGGTCTTAAAAGAAAGTCAGTAAGGCCTCAGGTCATAGAGTGGAGGGATCCTGAGGGATCCTCAGGTCATAGAGTGTCAGGACCCAGGCCCTAGGACCCAGCTGTGGTGCCTGTAGTTTACAAAACAGGAAGAGAAGTCAGAGCAAAGACCCAGTAACAAGAATTAAGGCATGCCGGCTAGGGATTGGGAAACAAGTAAGAGCATGATCTTAGAGTTAGAAAACACACCACGGAAAATCTAACCAATGGTACCAGTTGTTGCTAAGCCTGATTCATGTTGGTGTCAGGAGGCTTGATTATCTCCTGATTCAGGTTAACATTAGCCCAAGGAATGGAGGGTAGCATTGAGCATGCAGGTGAGATTCAAGTGGTCCCAGTGATGGTAGAGAGCAGGGATTGGATTTCAGCAAAACTCTTGTTTTCCTCACTGCACCCGTCATGCTACTTCTCCAAGAAAGAAACACATACTGGCTCTGGGGATATGATCAATCTGTTCACTAAACCATAAACTTCTTGAAAGCAGAAGCTGTGCCTTGAATGCCTAGAAGGGCCTGGAACATGCTCTGTGAATATCTTCTGAGTACATAAAGGAAGGCAAAGATGAATGACCAGGGCCGGCCCGTGGCTCACTCGGGAGAGTGTGGTGCTGATAACACCAAGGCCACGGGTTCGGATCCCATATAGGGATGGCTGGTTGGCTCACTGGCTGAGCGTGGTGCTGACAACACCAAGTCAAGGGTTAAGATCCCCTTACCGGTCATCTTTAAAAAAAAAAAAAAAAAAAGATGAATGACCAAATGTAGACACGAACCCTATAGGTTGGGGTATTCCATCAGACGTAACCAAAATTTCTGTGAAATATCCCTGCCCCAAACATTCTATACCATTTATTGTTTTTATTCTATGATATCCAAGCCAACTGCTGATTTAAAAACAATGGCTTTCCTGGTTTCTTCACACTGGAAACAAAGGATGGATGTTATTCTAATTTCACTACTAATATTTGTTATTTCCCTGTGTCACGTATTATACTGACATCTGGTCCATACCTCATTTAGTACATGTGGATTAGGGGAGTAGCGTCGGTATCTGAGAAGATGGACATATGGTCTGAGATCCTCTGAAGCAGAGAAAGAAAATTAATGGATCATGAAATCATCTGGCTTACAGTCCTGTTTTATTTATCTGTCATAATGTTGTACTTTTTAAAAATTGGTTCTCAGGTATCTGGAATCGTATTCATTATATTCCTGAGGTTCATGATACATTCTCACCATTAGCTCATACACTGGCTCAAATATTGTTGACTCATGTAAAAATTCAGATTTTTGTCTTCTCTTGAGAAATCAAAGGATCTACCAATATCAGGTCTATTTCCCTGCAGGGCAACCATCCGTGGCTGCTCAGTGTGCTGTCCCTGTTCATACTAATCTCTGTTGTCTCCTGACCAAGAGGCTTTGTGTCAGTTGATATGTACCACTGGGCTCGATCTGTTATTCTTCTAATAAAGTGGGGAGTGAGCTATTTCACCATGTCTACTTCACCTGTTTACTTTACCTTCCTGGCAAGTGTCAGCATCTGAGTTTGAGAACGCTGCTCTGCTGGGCAATCCTTTTGGCATCCCTAATAACAGCTACTGCTCATTAAGCCCTTATTACATGTAAAGCACCGAACTAACAATTTTTTATACATTATCTCTTTAATTCCCACAAAACCCTGTGAGATAAGTATGAGCTGGTATCTCCATTTTACAAGTGTGGAAATTGAAGTTTACAGAGGCTAAGTAACTTGTCCAAGATTACAAAACTTTTAAGTGGTGACATTGAGATTCAAATGTTGAATTCAAATCTTGGTCTTAAAACCTGAGTCTAAAGCTAGGGCCTTTAAACTTTATGTCACACTGCTTCCCCAACTTATAATCTAATAACAATAGAATTATTGCTATCAGGAACGCTGCCCTGCCCCTGCCATGGCCTGTGGTGTGTGCTCACTCTCTGCCCATGTCAGCCTGGAGTTGTTGCTTTGTTAGCTCTGAAAGCTACAGCAATTCTGGAGAAGGGAGGGCAAGTGGTTCTGGGGGTCACTGTGACTCTCATAAATCATTGATCCTGGAACTGGGTGTGTGTGTGTGTGAGTGTGTAGCTGGGCTGTCCCAGAGCTATACATGGGGGAGCTCCTATAAAGAGGATTGAGCTCTGCCCCACAGCCATCAGACCATTGCGATGGGGAGGCTGTTGCTGTGGGTTGGTGAGTGTGGCAGGTCCCAGCAGTGTCACTCAGTCCAGAAGGCACCAGGCTTCATGAGTCTGTCATCTCTCTGGTGCTCAAGAGAGCAGTCTTGAGACTCAAGGGGCCTGGATTTTGTAGATTTGGGATAGGACATAGTGAAGGGTAGAGGGACCCAGGGAGGAATGATCAGAACAGTGCTTTTTAAACCTGGTTACGCCTTGGACCAATTAAATCAGAATTTCTGGTAGAGAAGCCAGTGTATCAGTACTTTTTAACTTGCAGCCACAGTTGAGAACCAGTGGCCTAGGGCTTTTGCTGGGACTTCTAACAGTCATTGTCGTTCCTGTACATGTGTATATACACGTGGCATTTATTAGAGAGAAAGGGAACTTAGCTCTTGCTCTACTGTCTCAACTTTAGAGGTGAGGAAATGAATGGATGCTTTGTGGGTCTCCATTTGTGCATCTGCGTCTGGAAATGGTGCTTAGTTGGCGGGTGCACTTGCTAACTGGAGGGTGTGCTCTGGGGCATGCCATTCTGGGTGTGGGTATGAATCTGTGTCTGATTCCTTCCTTTGTTTCCTGCAGGGCTGGTTCTTGTGCTGAGACACCACTATGGTAAGGAAATGGTGTTCTTCCCTCCAGAGCCAGGGAGGTTCTCTGGCTAAGTCCCCTGCATTGCATGTTGCCTGCAGCCTGGCCCTGTTCTGGCTCCTCTGTCAGGAGTATTGATCCAATGCAGATGAGCAGAGGATTTTGGGGTACCTGCTGTTTGACACTCACTGTGTGCCAAAAAGGATCCAGACTTGAGGGTCCATTTTGACCAGGATTTCATAAGGCATTCTTCCCCACCTGGACCTCAGCAGTGGGGAGGGACTGGACCTCAGTGTAGCTTTGGAGTGTGTGTGGATGGTGGGGGGAGGACATTACAGTGGCCTGGCCTCTTAGGCTGTGTTTTCACTGCTCTCTAGAAGCAGAGCTCCATCCCCTCCTTGGTATTTGCCAGCTAATGCGTGCTATCCCTTAGCAGGTGCTGCCTACAAACTGGTGTGTTATTTCACCAACTGGGCACATAGCCGACCAGGCCCTGCCTCAGTCTTGCCCCGTGACCTGGACCCCTTTCTCTGCACCCACCTGATATTTGCTTTTGCCTCAATGAACAATAGTCAGATTGTTGCTAAGGATCCCCAGGATGAAAAAATTCTCTACCCAGAGTTCAACAAACTCAAGGAGAGGTATGTTCATATTGGATGTGGAGGTCATATTTTCAGATTTTACAGATGTCATAGTCTAAGTCTAAAAAGCCTAAATCTCCTGTTACTCTTCAGCTTTCCTCTGATTCTTCTGGTCCTCGCCTCCTCTCAAATAGGGCTCTGGAATATCTCCACCTTAAGAACAAGCACCATGAGATTTTTCTTGCCTCCTAGCTTTGAAGCTGCTGTGGCCTCTCCCTGGAACATCTATCTCTCTATTCTCTGCCTGCTGAACCCTAACTCCCTTGGAGCCCAGTTATGGAGATTTCATGTATTAATGCTTCTACAGTGATTCACAGAGGGCTGCACATGACAAATGCTCAACAATGCTAGTGTTTTTGTTACCATTTGTCACCTGAAACCCCTCAGCTGTGATCTCATGCCTAGTGGCTAGGTCAGCACCTAGCATAGAGTTGATGCTCAGTAAGTGCTTGCTTAGTATCCTGCTCTCCAGAGCTCCCGGGTTCTTTCCTTGTCCAAAGGAAGGTTTGTCATTGCATTGATGGTTACAGGTGGGCAGGGTGAAAGTTCCAGGCCACTGGATTACAAGCTCCCTGAGAACGGGAGCTTGGCTGTGTTGTTCGCTATTGTGTCTCAAGCATCTAACAGTTAATGGCACCTGGTCATTGCTCAATAAGTATTGGTTGAGTAAGAAAACAAGTGAAAAGAAACATTTTAGACTACTTTCTTTTTCTGGAAATATCACGGGGATGTGCGGGGGTTTGGGGACTTCGTACAGCCTTGGATTTGCTGGGTGTGATGACCCTTGGGTTGATCTCCCCTCTTTTCCTTTCCTCCCTTTTCCTGTGCTCTCCCCTCCTTCCCTCCTCCTGCCTTCCCCCCATTCCTTCCCCCACTTGCATCTCCCCTATTTCCCAGTGTTCCTCCAATGAGCAAAGCAAAAAGAGTGGTGACTGCAGCTGCCCACTGCAGTGAGCGCTAGCTTACCAGCCCTCTCTCCCACATCACAGGAACAGGGAGCTGCAAACACTACTGTCCATTGGGGGCTGGAACTTTGGCACCTCCAGGTGAGACTTTGCTGTTACCACCTCTCTGGGGTGGGGGCTGTGGTTGATGGGAGGGCGGAGCAGGCAGGCTAGAAGTGAGGACAGAGGGGGAAGCCAGCTTGGTCATGGGGACAGCAAAACTAGTGCAGACAAATCCCCCAAGTCCTGATCTGGCCCTGGATTCAAGGGACCCCCACCTCTTTTCCATGGGGGGTTGGGGGAGGAAAGGAAGTTCCAATGGGTGGTGAGAAAGGGGGTGGAGGGGAAATGAGAGACAAAGTGGGACACTCACAAACGTCCCCTCAACCTTTCATAAGAGGCAGAGATTTTGTCTCTGAGGGGTGGAATATTGCACAGGACAAGAACAAACCCAAACGTCACAGGGCCTGTGTTTCCTTGTGTTACTAATGAGCCAGTGATATCAACCTCAGAGGCTGTAATGGAGGAAAGGAAGTAAATAAAATGCTAGGCCTAGTGCCTTGGCGTACAGCGCATGTTAGTATGTGGTGGCTGCTCTTGTTAGTACTTCCCCCTCCTCGAGGCACTGTGGAGATATGAACTGCCTGATACTTTCTGAAGAAACGTTTCCCCTATTTCATGGCTGAGGCCTGGGGTAGAAGCCATGCCTGACTTCTCACCATAGAAGAGTGAGATGCATGGGCAGGGGACCTGGTGGCCCAGGAGCATGTGAGGGTGCCCCTTGGGAGAGACCTCCACGCAAGACAAAGGAAGGATCCGGGGTGTGAGGTGACAGGTGGCTCTGTCCCAGCTTCACCTTGCCCACTCTGAACGCTCTGCCACATGCTGGTCGCTGGCCTGGGGGCTGTACACACATGGTCTTGCGAATACTCAGAGAAAGCTTACAACGTGGTCGTCTGTGTTCCAAATTGGTAGACAAAGAAAGCAAGAGCCACAGGTGTAGAGGATCTTGCCATATTTCTCCGAGGTGTCACCCAGCTAGGAGGTGGTAAATAGACTATGGAGCCCAGGCCTGCTGGTTTCTGAATCTGGCTAACTTTTTAATCATTGCCCGCAGGACTAGCCTGGAATCACTTAAAGTTCGGCTCCAATAAGTTAGAATTTTTCCCAAAGTGCCTTCACTATGGAAGAGAAAACTAAAATCGAAAAATATCTAAGAAGCAAACTAACAAAATAGCAAGGGGACCAGAGCCCCTTATCAGAGCACAGGCCTCTTATGCCAAGTTAGGCAGCACAGGCCCAGAATAGCTCCTAGATCTTTCCAGAAGTGCTGGCCCTTGGCTTGCATTTGCTCCCCTAATATGGTTGGGGAGAGAATGTCAGTGCTAGGATAGGTCATGGGGATTGAGTAGTTACCCACAAGAACAGAGCAGAGAGAAGCAAAGTGCCTTGCCACTATGCGTACTATGTTGCAGGAGCAGAGCTGGACTGAGCCAGATCTCCCCACCCCACGCTGTGTGCTTGGTTTTGTGCCTACTGCTCCCTGTGCCTTCTGGCCAGGACAGGATGTGGTTTTCAACTTTTCCCTGCTGCCTGAATTCCCCGTTCCCAGCTGTTTAGCCCCTGCTGCTGGGAGGGACATTTAAGGTGTGAGAGTTCCAAAGATCTGCCCTTCCTTTCCTCCAGCTACATCAGCAGTGCCTCCCAAAGGACACCACCCTTGCCAGAGGCCCTGTGGGAGGTACAATTCTGCAGATAGCTTTCTTTGCCTCACCCCCATCTCCCTGCAGGTTCACCACTATGTTGTCCACATTCGCCAACCGTGAAAAGTTTATTAATTCAGTCATATCCTTCCTGAGGAGACAGGACTTCGATGGTCTCGACCTTTTTTTCTTGTATCCTGGACTAAGAGGCAGCCCCATGCGTGATCGGTGGACTTTTGTCTTCTTAATCGAAGTAAGCTCCAGAATCCAGAAATGATTCTACTTTGATCATATCTGGGCTCATGGCAGAGGAGGAGCGTGAGGCCAGGGGCAGGGGCAGGAGACAGGTAACAGAATGTTCTTTTACTGCTGTCACTCTAGAGGTGTTGGGCACAATTGCTGCTCAGCAGATGCCTTCTGGTTGCTCTTTTCTCCATCTGCATCTGAGTATTGCTCCAGCCCTGTAGCAGGAGTGACACCCTCCCTGGGAAGCTGCCTGGGCTCCCTCAGGCAGTGTCCTTCTGAAATCTCTGCTCCTGGGCCTGCTTGCCACGCCTCTGTTAAATCACCATGTTGGCCCATGTCCGCCTTTCTCATGAACTTGTGGGCTTGTGTCTGACTCACCTTTATGTCCCTAGAGCCTGGTTCATGGGGCTTAGTAAATGGTTACTGGATGATACTTTCCCCAACTCTGTTTTGTCTGGCTCTATATGTATACCTTTCTTACCAGGAGCTCCTGTTGGCCTTCCAAAAGGAGGCACAGCTCACCATGCGCCCAAGGCTGCTGCTCACTGCTGCTGTCTCTGGAGTCCCACACATCATCCAAACATCGTATGATGTGCGCCTTCTAGGAAGGTGAGTGGGTGTTGCCTCAGTGGGGCAGAACATTAGAAGAAAGGTGGCATCTCAAGCTCAGGACCCCAGAGCTTCCCAAGCACTGTCTCTGAGCTCACCACATGCCTGTCCTCGTATCAGTGCAAGTTTGGGGGTGGGGTGAGCTGAGGAGCATAGATGGGGACAAGGGTTAGCTCCACTATACCCTGGGGCCCACAACAACATTCTCATGGTAGAATCTTCTGCATAGCCCATTGCTGGGTCCCACAAGGAGAAAATCCCATGGGCCTGGCCTCTTCCCACCCAGAGCACAGCTATAGGCATATACTATGCAGCAGATACTGGCATCAGAGGGACAGATGAATTAACAACCACTGCCACAAAACCAAAATAGGAATGCTTAGTTACACCCAGTTTTCAGAGCAGCTCTCATGCAAAAGTTAAAAAAGCTAGACAAAAAATAGCACATAAATCGTTCTGAACATGCTTGCTCTGGGCTAATTTTCCTGAAGCTTGAGAATAAAGTATTTACAGATGAGGAAATCGAGGCAGATGCAGACCAAAAGAGAGGATGGAGTATTTTTGTGTGTGACTGTATGAAGGAGAGCAGTTTCAATGTATGAGGAAAGGTAAGAGACCCAGTGAGGGATAGAGTTTGTTGGTGTTGGCCGTGTAGCCAGCAGGATTGAGAAAGTCCTGCCTTCACCCAGCTGGTGACTTTAGGCAAATTAGTTAACCCATCTGAGTTTCAGTTCTTTGGCTTTAAAATGCAGACAGTTATGGCATTTTGGGCATTGATCAGATTAATATTAAATTAGATAATTAGTGTAAACCCTTACACCTGTGACCTGGTATGTGCTCATTTACATCTGGTCATGATGAAAGCTTCCTGGATGAGGTGGGTTTTAATGGCTCCTTGAATGGTGGGAAGACAGCAACTCTTTTACTGCTATGGGACAATACTGCTTTGACTCATGACAATTTATGCAGACCTCTGTTAGCACTTGTACCAGGCCTGAGTGTATTTTTTTTTCTTGTCTGACTCCTGCTCACCTCCACGGATACTCTCAAGATGCATAGATCCTGATGCACAGCTGTCTTTTACCAGCAGTTTGCCCCAGTGGCAGCATCTCAAGAGATGGCACAGCCTGGGCAGGTTCCACAGGCAGAAAAAGCAAGAAAGTTCAGATGACTAATGCCCAGCTAGCCAGCTAGTTAGTGCTGTGATGATCTGACTTAAAAATCTGGCTAGCCTGATCTTCATTTCTCCTCCTCTTGCCCCTTACAGATTCCTGGATTTCATCAATGTCTTGTCTTATGACTTTCATGGGAGTTGGGAAAAGTTCACAGGACATAATAGCCCCCTGTTCTCTCTTCCTGAAGACCCCAAATCTTCGGTAAGAAAAGGAAAATCTCTCAGGTGGCACAGATATTGGCCCCTGAGACCACACCATTGGCTTTTATTTACAAGGAGGGGTCTGTGTTCTTTCTACCTGCAGGCATACACTATGAATTATTGGAGAAAGCTTGGGGTGCCCTCAGAGAAGCTCATCATGGGGTTACCCACCTATGGACGTACCTTTCACCTCCTCACAGCCTCTAAGAATGGGTTGCAGGCCAGAGCAATGGGACCAGCATCTCCAGGGAAGTACACCCAGCAGCCTGGCTTCCTGGCTTATTATGAGGTGAGGGAAGTAGGGTACTCTAGCAGTTATGGCTCCCCACCCGTGGCTGGGACGAAGGCCAGAATAAGGGGGCAATGGCAAGAGTGAGAGCTAGAGACAGGGCAAAGAGGTATTTTATGGCACTGAGGGAAATCCCGTGTCTGGGATATTTTCTTTTTCTTTGGGGCAAATTATTTGAGTCCTTTGTAAGGGATGGAGGGCTCAGTCAAGTTTGAATGGAAGGATTTCTTTCATCACCTATAGCATTTAAAATCCCTTTAAAGATCTTAATCTTGACTTGCTATATGGCCTAATAAAAATCATTTGTCTTTACAATATAAATAGTTTCAAACATGCAAAAATAAAAGAATAGTATAACTTTGCCCCCATCCCCACACCACTCACCCTGCTTTGATCATTAATAATTCATGGCCAATCTTTTTTCACTCTGCCCTCTGACCCCCCCCTCCCAGGTTATTTTGGAGCAATTCCAAGACGTCTTCTACTACAGGTGCTTTCTCTCTACCCCAGCACTACCCACTGAATCTCCATCTTAACAAAGCTTGCTATTAAGTGGAGGAAAGAGATGTATGATCAAGGAAATGTAAGACACAAGAGGAGACAATAAGAGGCACACAAGTGTGTGGCTGAAGGGATCTGGAAAGGTCTTATGGAGCAGGTAGATTTTGAGCAGGGTTTAAAGCACAGAAAAATCCTGATGGGCAGGAATGACACGATGGGAAGGACTTCCCAGGTAGAGGACAGGAGGCACAAAGGCATGAGGTATGTAGGGGTGCCAAATGGAGAGCTTTAACCTTACCTTAGGCAGCAATAGAGGTGCCAAGCATCTCTCACATCTCTGCTCTGTGCATGCTGAATTGAGATGTCTTCCTGCCGATCCAATGAAGCATGGTTATGAGTGATGGCATAGTTCAAATAATGTTCTTGAAAGACATTATGGGTCAGAGAGACTTTTTTTTTTTTTCCTTTTTGTCTTTTTTACTGACGGGTAACGGGATCGCAACCCTTGGTGTTGCACCCGCACCGCGCTCAGCCAGTGAGCGGGAACCGGTCTCCACATGGGATCTGAACCCTCGGCGGAAGCACCGCTGCGCTCCCAAGCAGCGCACTCTCCAGTGCGCCACCGGGCCGGCCCAGAGTACTTTGATAGACAGAAACTAAGGCACCAACAGAAAAAAGCAATGACTTAGACATTAACTTTTGCAGCACAACCTGAACACCTCTACTCCTTTGCAGCTTATTGTTTCTAGAACAATGCTGGGCGCCTAGTAGACACTCAAACGTTTGATTGATTGTATCAGCCTGGTTCTCCCTGTCTTTAATACCTTTAAATCTCCTAGAGGTTCAAAGTCTTTGTTTGATAACTACTTGTATGGGGCAGTTTGTGCTGAGATCTAATGAACATCAAAGGGAAACACTTTGAAAAAGATATAGATTTGGTCAAGGGTCAGATATGTTACTCTGAGTACTTTGGTACTTGCCTTATTTACCAAACCCTGGCTTGTTTCTTAAGATGTCACCCACTCATTGGTTCTCTCTTTTTCCATCATGGACATTAGAGTAAGGAACATGTAACAGAAGGAATTTATTCAGAATAGACAGCCACTTTGTGAGCGGCTTCCCCGCTGTCTTTGGTCTGCCTACTTCTCATTCCCTGGTGAGCAATTCTCAGATTCTTTATTCCTGGGCAAGGAACAGCTGTGTCTCCTGGAGCTTCTCTCCATGGCACTTCACAGAACTAACCTAGTGGTCCTCCTGGCAGATTTGCTCCTTTGTCCAGGGAGCGAAGAAGCACTGGATTGAATATCAGTATGTCCCATATGCCTACAAGGGGAAGAAGTGGGTTGGCTATGATGATGCCATCAGCTTCAGTTACAAGGTGAGACCCTGGTTCTTTCTTGCTGCAGCATGTAGCTTCCCTCTGGCTTCCGTGGGGCCCTAGTCTGTACAACATGTGCACGTGTGTGTGTGTATTGGATGGAGGATGAAAGGTGAGGATGATTACATCAGCTGAGTTTCAGGTGTGCCTAAATGTTAATTCTAACTGCAGTTTCATAATCCTATCTAGTCCAACTCTCTGTTCCTAAGAGAAGAGATCTTGGTTCTGAGGGAATAAACATTTCTTTTAGTTCACACCTCTTTTTAGTGACAGTCTCTTTTTTTCTATTTGGATAAATAATTCTATAAAGATAAATACCAATAAAGGTAGATCATGCTACATGCTACGTGAATATTACTAACATGTGGCGGAGATGGGAAAGTCAGGGAGGGCTTCCTGAAGGAGTTGAGCAGGAGGAGAAGTGATGACATGGGGAAAAGACTCAGTGGTGCAGAAAACTTGCAGCAGGTCCAGAGGAGAATTTGGGTGAAGCAAAGTTTTTTTATGGAGGGACTCAAATGCTGCTGAAGGTGTTTGGTCTTCATCCTGTGGGCATTTTAAGGAAAAATCAGGTTTCTGAACAGGTTATGACCTACAAATTTGAAACCTTTAAAACCTAACTGTGACCACCACCCTTTTCCCATATAAGCAATGTTCTACAAAGTTGAGTATGGCAGGTTTTTATAGTGAATTAAAACAGAAACGACATGCTCCAGTGGTTTCTGAACCTGTCTCTGCTTGATAAATGTAGAAATCTTGTTTCCATTCCTGAATATTCAATAGGTCTTAGAAAAAGTCTGGAAGTTCTTTTTGTATGTCTCCATGAGTGATCCTACTGTAACCAGGTTGGCATTTTGTATGCTCTGAGGGACATGGAGATGTCCAAGGATGAGATAATAATGAGGGTCTGGACCAGGGTGATTGGAAGGAGAGGCAGTCTATGGGTAAGAAATTGTCAGGATTTTGCAACTGCTTGGATATATGGGCTTATAAGTAGAGAGAATTCACAGTCTCCTACTATAGGTGATGCAGAAATGGTAAGGTGTTGGCTGTTCTTTGGAGGCAGTTTGGGGTGGAAAGCACAGAGATGGGGAGGCATTCATGAATGAATGATTGTGCCCCTCCTCTATGCAAAACACCAGGCGATGCCCTTAGGGGCAAAAAGAGGTAAAAAGCATGGCCTCCAGCCTCTGGGATATTGCTTTGTGGTTTGAAAATGGAAGATATAGACAAAAGATCAATGAGTCAGTGAAATTATCCAGTGGGACAGAATTAAACACAGACCCTCAGGACATCAGAGAGGGGATTGACCACATGTGTTGGGGAAGGCCCTGAGACCAACAGAACAGAGTGGACTTGCTTTGAAGGGCAGTTACTGTACCTTGCAGAACTAGAGGGGAGGTGTGAGCCCAGAGGGGGGATGATTAAGGAATTTTGTCATAGAATGTCAGAGCTAAAAGAAACCTTGGAGATCATGCTTGGGAGATTATTGTCTCTGGACTTCTCAATGTTCTTGTACAGTCTTGGCATTCTGAGCAAAGGAAGCAGACAGGCTATACTAAACATAGAGAGATGCTTTTCTTTTTACCCCAGCATTGTGAAAGTCTCCTCTCCAGAGAGGACTTGTTCACATTCCAGAGCAAAGCTCTCTCTCTTGAGGGGAGGAGGACCAGATATGACAACTATCCTATATAAGCTCCGAGTTTCATAATTTCAGGGTTCTTTGTGGTACAGGCCCCACTGCATGTGCAGATAAGCATCTGGCCTTCATAATATTGCCCTTTGGATAACTGAAATATGGGAACCAACTCAAGGTGCTATTCTGGCTTTTTGTGCTGTGGATAATAAACATTCTGTTCTCTGATCCAGAGGTCTGGAGTGTGTGTTTGTGAGTGTGTGTATGTGTATACACATAAAACTGTCAGGCTAACTTGTTAGCTGGTAAGTAGGATGAAATCTCAGAACCTTCACACTTAATAATTGGATTTCTACTTCATCTTATTTTACATATGGGGAATATAAACCCCAGAAAGGAGCCAATTGACTTGACCAAGTCACATAGCTATTTGAATACGATGGAATCTGTCTTTTTCATCAGCCTTGATAGAAAGCACTGAGAAGGTAATAATAGGACCTGGATTTGCATGTAAATTCTGTCATTTAGTTATAGCTGAGGTTTTAAAATTCATGGATGGAAGTATTTATTTTCTCATCTGTGAAAAATGTATGATATTACCTCTTTATCTGTGCCTTATTGCATTATTGTAAAATAAGGGAATGTTTTTTATTTTTTTGTCTTTTTCCGTGTCCGGCAACGGATCGCAACCCTCAGTGTCGCCCCCGCACCAGACCAGGACCGGCAACGGGATCGCAACCCTCGGTGTTGCCCCTGCGCCTCGCTCAGCCAGTGAGCGGGAACCGGTCTGTATGTGGGATCCGAACCCTCGGCGGGAGCGCCTCCGCGCTTCCCAAGCGGCGCACTAGCGCAGTGCGCCACCGGGCCGGCCCGGAATGATTTTTAAATAATAAAGCAATATCTATAGTTTACTATGATGATAATAGTGATTAGCAGGCTGGGGAGCCAGAGGGATAGTAGCTAACATTTATTGACCATAACTATGTGCCAGGTATTGATCCAAATATTTTATATGTAGGAACTCTTTAAGAAAAGTTATGCAGCATTCCTACATAACATAAAACATAACATTTGTAATTTTAACTATTTTGAAGTCTACAATTCAGTGGCATTCATCTCTAGAACTTTTTCGTCTTCCCAAACTGAAAATCTGTGTCCATTAAACAATAACTCTCCATTCCTCCCCTCCCCAGCCCCAGGAAACCACCATTCTACTTACTGTTTCTATGACTTTGACAATTTATAGGTGGAATCATACAGTATTTGTCATTTTGTATCTGGCTTATTTCACTTAGCATGATGTCTTCAAGTTTCATCCATGTTGTAGTATGTGCATATAGGAATTCTTTTGATTCTAAAATTGTTGTGAATGTTATTATCTCTTTTTTGCAAATTAGGCAACTAATATACATAAGGGCTGTGTAACTTTTTGAGGATCTCATAGCTAATAGACAGGGGAGGCTAGATTCAAATTCAGGCTGTACTCCTAACCATTCTGTTACATTGCCTCCTGAGGGTCCATTTTCTGCTTTTGCTGTTATACCCAGTCTGGAGGGTGGTCAGTACAGCAGATTGACTGACTGTTACTTTTACAGGCATTGTTCATAAAGAGAGAACATTTTGGGGGGGCCATGGTGTGGACGTTGGACATGGATGATGTCAGGGGCACTTTCTGTGGCACTGGCCCTTTCCCCCTTGTCCACATATTGAATGATCTTCTCGTTCAGGCTGGTGAGTAGCTATGACCTAGAAGCTGGGGCTGAAAGTTGCATAACCAGCCACTGGGTGGATCCCTTCTGCTAGGTTTAAACATTTTGTGAGGCAACGTGACATTGAGGGAAGAGAATAAGCTCTGGTGTCAGGCCAATATGTTTTCTAATCTTGATTGAGATACTTGGCCCTTATTTGACCTCTTTGAGTTTCCTTTACCTGTATAACGGGAATAATCCTTACACTTATGACAGTATTATAAGAACTAAATGAGATATGGAATGAAAACTGCACTGGCTCATAGTTAGCACTCAATATATGTTAGCTTATTTCTCTGTTTCTTTCTTCTGCTTTCATTGGCAACGCCTAGAAAAGGGAATTCAGTTTCCTTTGATATCTCTTTTTGATAGTAGAGGCTGCCCTGGCAGTGAGAAGATGGAATTTAGCATGCAAGAATGGAAACATCCTTAGAGATGGCTTATAATCCTCATTCTATGGATAGTGAGACGAGCTCAGCTGGGTCAAATCTTTAGGTGTTTACAGCATGCTGTCTAGAGCCTTCTTGCTCTTGGCTTTGTTCCTAGTGCCTCCTACAATGTAGAGGCACAGGACTCCTTAAGGATTCAACAGGTAAGGAATTAGGCCTTGGGGACAGGATCTTGCTGATGGTGCAGTCAGAGAAGTCAAAGTAAGGACTTAAACATAGGGAACTGCTAGGCTCATCCCTGGGGTCATTCACCAGAAATGTGGCAAATCCTCTGAGTGCCCATGGGTGTCCAGAACCATGTTAACATGATGGGGTGGGGAACAAGCTTTCTTTGTGGCAGGATTTCATCTATGTTCTCAAGTGGGCACATTATGAAATCTTCCAATTCTGGATTTTGGGAGCAGGTACTTCAGTCCTAGAGTCTTCCTACTGATTAATATGATGGGAAGGAACAGAAAATAATTTCGTCCTTTTCTGATTATTTTTCTCTAGAGTCCAGCTCAACTCCTTTACCACAATTTTGGCTCTCACCTGCTGTGAATTCTTCAAGAACTGACCATGAAAGCCTGGCTGTGACCGAGGCATTGACCACCGATATTAAGATTTTGCCCCCAGGAGGAGAGGCTGTGGCCACTGAGATTCAGGGAAAGTATGAGAATATGACTACAATCCCCCAAGGTGGAATTGTGACCCCTAGAAGGGAAACTGTGTACCTTGGAAAGGCGACTGTAGCTCCAGGAGGGAAGACTGAAGTCCCTGGGGCAGAGACCTTGATCCCTGTGGACCATCAGTCTGTGGCCACTGAAGGGACGAGGATAGCCCTTGTGCACCTTCAGACTATGACCCCGGGAAAGACGACAGTAGCCCCCTAGAAGGAAGGCTGTGGCCCCTGAAAAGGTGACTTTCCCCCAGAATCAAGTAGTCACCCCTGAAAGGCAGACTATGACTCTAAGAGCAGAAAATTGGCTTCTCAGATGCATGCTGACACTAGGATGGATGGCTTTGGTCTTTAGGTGGAAGTTGAAAACAGAATGCCATCCTCTGGTCCTATCACCCAGCTCCCAATACACACTCCTCTTGCTTTTTACACTTTGTTCACATTGATGGGAACCATTCCTCTGTCAGCTCAAGAACCCTTCCAACAAGTTCTCTCTCTCAAAAAAAGAAAACCCAGAAAACTCTGCTATGGACCAAGGAGAACCTTACCTCTACTTGTGGCAGAAGTTGGAGAGAGCCCTTGTCTTTTCTTCTCAGTGATTTAACAGAAGCCACATGATCCTGGCCATTCCTAAACCATTTGAGGGAAAAGCAGGCACCAAAGACACAGTGGGTCAATCTCTTTTCTGTTGAATAAACTAGAGACACAAAAATGCACCTGAGTTCTCTGAGATTCTTTTCTTGAAATGACCTGTGTAACTCAATTGTCAGCTTCTCTCTTTCAGGGTTATTTTCTCCTACTGCTATTTCTGGAAAGAGGGAGTGCATGTTACATCTACAATGATGTTTTCTAGTGTGGATTATGTGCTTCCTTCTCTGCCATGAGCAATCGCTCACTTCCCTGTTTGTCAGAGCTGACGGTATATTACTTGCACATTCCTCCTAGGCCTCCTCCAGAAATACCAATTCCTACCCATTAAACACTGTAGTCTACCTAGGGAGCATTTTTCTGGGCATAAAAATGCTCATAAGTTACTTTAGACATGGAACCAATTTCTAGCCCTCCAATTCTAGGAGCTACACAGAGTGGGTATCATAACTATAACTAATATTAACTTTTCTTTTGGAAGTGTACCCTCCAAGTCTTTAAGCCAGGGGTCTCAAATTAAAATGCCCATAGGAGCAAGTATAATAAGTGATTAAAACATGTGAAGGCACATGGACACATGCCCGTTGCCACAGTATGTCACAAGTAAGTTACTTATTGTTGTATAACAAACCAAACCTAAATCTTAGTGGCTTACAAAATAGCCATTTATTTAGCTTATGATTCTAAAGTTGGCAATTTGGGCTAGGTTCAACTAAGAGTTTCTCCCATCCAAGTACTAACCAGACCTAACCCTGCTTTGCTTCCAAGATCAGACAAGATCTGGCATGATCAGGGTGGTATAGCTGTAGACAACTAAGAGTTTCTTTTCTTTCTTTCTTTTTGTTTTTAATTTGTTTATTACTATATTTATCATTACAAAACATAATCATTTTTTGTGGTCCTTTACCAATTTCTCTCTAACTCCCTCTCCCACTTCCTCAACGAACAGTTTCTTGTGGTCTGGACTGGTCTTGGATAATCTTGGGTGGAGTGACTCATGCATCTACAGTTAGCTGGTGGGTTGGGCTGGGGATGGCTGTTTTATCTTGGCCTCAACTGAGTTGCCTGAGGTCTCTATGAGATCTTTCATCCTTCAGCTGTATAGCCAGGCTTGTTCACATGGTGTTGGTCACATTGATAGTAGAAAGCAAGAGAGAAAGCTTCAATAGATAATTGATTTTTAAGTTTCTGCTTGAGTAATATTTACTATTGTCCCATTGGTCAAAGCAAGTCAAATGGACTAAATTTAGAGTGGTAAGGAATTATCCAAGTAGATACAGGGAGGCATAAACAAATTGGAGACTGTTTTTGCGATAATCTACCACATGCATTCATCACCTTTATTCCATACTTCACCTCCTATGTTTCCTGCAGGTATATTTGCTTGACAGAACTTGGGTCACATTTGAAACCCTTCTGGGAATCTGGAGATTGTAGGTTTAGCTGCCAGTCTGTATTACAGGAAAGGCATACTAGAGGTGTTTAGAGTGTGTATTGAGTGAGCCGGTGATCATTAACCGTAAGGATCACTCTGTGGTTACCCAACATACATGTAAATCCTTTTTCTCATAATTGAGTATCCTAACAACATCAATTGCAGCAAATGCTCTCACCTAATGTAACACAAAAATCTATCCTCCCAAGAAAAAAGAACGAAACTTAGTAACTTTAACCTTGGAAAATAGGATTTTGACTTTATACTAAAAGGCTAAAGGCAAAAGGAACTGCACGCAAATACTGTATGCATGTTAGTAAATTTGTTTTTTATGGGTGTATATATCAGCATTTCTGAAGCTACTTCATATGTATTCCAAAATTAAGCAAATAAGTACATATACTGTGAATAATGAGAGCTGGGTTTCTCACTGTCAGAAAAATAAGTTACAAATAAGAAAAGGGGAAATGCTAGAATGAGCCTGGTGGTGTTGGAATTGGAGGTATCAGTATGAAATCATGGTTTTAAAATATAGAGAGATAGGTTAATATAGAAATTGATATAGAAATATGTGTTCATAATTATATTAACTAGCTTTGACTGTTGAGAAGGCCTTGAAGCAATGATATTCCAGTAGCAATAAGTACATCTGGTGCCTATCTTGGTTTTTAAATTTCATTCTTCAATAAAAGAACCAGGGGTCCTTGAAGAAATGGCTGATTCTTGGGCTGAGGCAGGAAAATACAAGAAAAGACTGGAACATCTTATGGTTTCAGAAAGTATGAAAGTACTCAAAAAACGATGAGGCCATATCAAAGGGATACAAGAGCAATCTTGAAAAAGCTCCCAATGGCCAAATTTGGGACAATTTGAGCAACAAAATAAATAATGATGATAATGGATGATAGTCCACAGAGTAAAGTAAATATGAGTCCATATTGCTATTAATTAATAATTAAATACATAAATGGGAAGAAAGAACAGCTCTCCCTTAGAATAGAATGCTACTTAACAAATGTTACTTAACAAATGTAGAAGAAATGATGGAAATAGAAAAATCACTATTTGGCAACTATCACTATTTAGTAATCACTATTACCACACAGTAATAATTATTAGAGACAAGAAACATCACTGGATGCTAAAATTGTTGGATAAAAATATGGCAAGAAACAACATATTTGCATAGTCTCAAAGTATTTTGCCGCTAATTACAAAGGGGAAAATTGGAACTTTACGGTTAGGTTGGCAAGTGTTCATCAACTGTAAGGATCACTTACAAGGGGAGAAACATGGTGGACACCATATAAACCAAATTTACCTCAAAGTTAACCTCACCTTCTCATCAAGCAACGAGACATGTCAACATTATATAACTCTTTTTTTTTTTTTTTGTCTTTTTCCGTGTCCGGCAACGGATCGCAACCCTCAGTGTCGCCCCCGTACCGGACCGGGACTGGCAACGGGATCGCAACCCTCGGTGCTGCTCCCGCGCCTCGCTCAGCCAGTGAGCGGGAACCGGTCTGTATGTGGGATCCGAACCCTCGGCGGGAGCGCCACTGCGCTTCCCAAGCGGCGCACTATAGCAGTGCGCCACCGGGCCGGCCCAACATTATATAACTCTTGATATAATGCACTTAGGACACAATATTAGTTCTGTGATATTATTTCCAAAAATGTATAACTCGAATTCAAACATTAGACATACCTAAACTGAGCAACACTCTACAAACTAACTGGCCAGATCTCTTCAGTTGTGTCCAGGCATGAAAGACAGGATCTATCCCAGGTTGCAGGAGGAGACTAAGCAGACCTAATAACTAAATGCAATGCAGGACTATGAATTGAATTCTGGACAAGAAAAAGGCATTTTCTTCAAAATAGAGCTAGTACTGAACAAATTCTTACCCGGTCCACTGCTCCTACACTGGCCTGAGCAACAAGATAAATAATTATAATAATGGATTAACCCCTCACCTGGGTTACGAAGATAGCCTTCTTGGCTTCTTTGCATTTATCCTTGACCCCTGTAATTATTCTCAACTCAGCAGCCAAACTTTAGTCTGGTCATGTTGCTCTTTTGCAACACCTCCTGACTTCACTCAGGGTAAAAGACAAGCCTTTGCAGTGGCCTACAAGACTCTCCATAATCAAGGCTCTCAGACCTCTAGAGGAGGCCCTTGGCTCACTACCTTACACATTGTGCTACAGTTCTGCCCATCTCCTTGGTGTTCCTTGAACACCCAGGCACATTCTGTCTTAGGACCTTTGCATGAGCTGTTCTGTTAGTCTAGAACACTCTACCCAGATGTTCTATAGCTCATTACCTCAATTCTCAGTCTTTTACTATCACTTTTTCAACAAGGCTTATGCTGATCACCCTACTGAGTACTGCAAACTGCAAACTCCCTGCTCCCATACTTTTGATACTTCTTACCATGCTTACTTTTTGCTTTATTTCATAGCAAGTATCACTTTACAAAATATGTTTCACCTGACTCCCCCAAAGTCAATTCCATGCGTATGAACTCCATAAGGGCAGAGATCTTTGCCATTTCTGTTCACGGAGTATCCCAATAGTGAACAAGACACTAAGATAGTTCTAAGACACTATCTTAGAAAATTCTGAGCTAGTATCTCTTTGAATCTTGTTTTCTCTTGTTGCTTTGATTCTATCTGCTGCTAGATACATATTGAAATTTCTTGATCTGTCCTCCATACAGTTCAAATTTCATCTCACGTATTTTGCCTTTATATTTCTATGTCACTTTCTCAAATATTTATTTATTTGTGTCTTTCAAATAGCTAATTTTTTCTTTGGCTCCAGCCAGATGACCATTTAACTCTTAAAAGTATTTTTGTTGTGGTAAGATATATATACATAAAAGTTGCCATTTTAGCC